TATACATCCGAGTCTTACGTGAAGCATCATCAATAAAAGTAACAAAATATCTACTACCACCTAATGACTCAACCTCAATGAAATCACATACGTCAGAATAAATTAATTCCAATCTATTTTCTTTTCTCTAAGAACTTTTACGAAAAAAAACTCTATGATGCTTACCAAACAAACAATAATCACATGAATCGAGAGACATACCTTTGATCAAGGGAATAAGAGATTGTCTTGCCAAAACTTGTAACTCTTTTTCACTCATGTGTACCAGTCTTTTGTGCCACAAGTTTGTTGAAGCATCATCTTCAATAGCATTTACCTGATTACCATTCAATTGTATCCATGTCGTATATATTGTGCAACATAATTTTCCCCTTGCAACTATCATAGATTCTTTGAGAAGCTTCCATTATCCATTCTTTTGTCGACTTTCATATCCCTCTTTATCAAAGACATTAATAGCAAGCAAGTTCATTCTCATATTTGGAATATGTCTAACATGCCTCAAAGTCAACATCCAGCTTGTACTAATTTGTACAACAATATCACCAATCTCAACAATTTGTAACACACTCTTATTTTTAATCTTAGTACAATCAAAGTCTCTTATTTTGTAAGTTGTAAACAACTCTCTCTTAGGAATACAATGATATGCCACTCCTGTGTCAACTATTTACTTAATACCAGGATCACTAACATGATTACAATCATCATATGTACAAATCAAAGTAACTGAATCACTATCTGAATTTACTGCTGTAACATTATCATCATCTGAACTCTTACATTTCTCATCTTTTCACTCTTGCTTCAAGATTTTACAATTTCATTTTATATGACCTGTCTTACCACAATATAAATACTTCACTTTACCTCTAGACTTGGATCTATGTTTAGACTTATCACAATCTTTTGAGTCCTGACCTCTGTCGATATTTTTATCCTATTCTCTGTGACCAGAACTTGATTCTCAAGGTCTACATCTTTTCGTCTTGCTTCTTCATTAAGCATACTGTTTTTTACCATCTCCAATGTCACTTTATAATCAGAAACTGAATTAAGAACAGTCACAACTAGAGTATTCCAGCTATTTGGTAATAAACCCAAAAGAAATAACGCCTTCATTTTATCATCCATCTTAAGCTTCATAGTAGTCATCAAATTAAATATATCTTGAAAATCACTCAAGTGCTCTGTAATAGATCGTTCATCTATGTACTGTAAAGTTACAAGCTTTTTAACAAGTATAACTTTATTCATACATATTTTTCTCTCATACAATACTGCTAATTTTTTAAAACAATGTGAGCATCTGACTCCTACACCATATGATGGAACACGCTGATATCAATCCATTTTTTTATTGTAGCTAGCGTCTTTTCACCTAGCTTCTTTCAGCTTTCATATTTCATATTTACTGGTTTAGTCGAATCATCCAATACTGACTCATACAAATCTTTGCAGTATAGATGATCCTTCATAATAGGCTTTCAAATTGAATAATTCGATGCTGTCAATTTTATCATGAAACTTGTATCATCTTTCATGATCTCAAACAGAATTTATTTTTATTTTGGGTTACTTCTGTATCGATGTCTCAAAATAAACCTCGCTCTAATATCACTTGTTACGCCTGAAGTAATAATCACAATAATACAGAAGCAATAGACAACAATCAATAATAAAAAACGCAAAAAAAATAAAGCACACTAAGATTTACTTGAAAAATCCTCAAGTGTAGAGGAAAAAATCACGGACCATCAGAAAAATCTTCACTATCAAATAATAGGTATATAAAGTTCTTCTCTAGCTAAAACTAGAGGTAATCAACAACTAGAGAAACAATTGAAGAAATCTCACCAAATAAGTGACTCAACAAATACACCGTGAATTTTTTCCTAGAGAATTTTAAACCCGATTTTCACCGTTCAGAATATAGAACTCTGAATTATAAACCTTCTGATAAGGTTTCAACTCAATCGGACCACGGATCGACTTCTGTTCAACTAACTCTCCCTTCTCATTTTTCTCTTTACTTTTTCTGACTTTTCTACTTTCTCTATTTGATTTTCGACACACACTTAAAACACCACCACCTATTTTTTATTAAGTAACTAGGGCCTGTGTAAAATAAAAAATTAAAGCCCATGACCTTTACTTGATCGAAAACCACTTACATGGGGCTAGACCTCATTTTCCTAACAATTCTTTCAACAAATAAATTATGATTCAATTAAAACTTAAAATTTACAAATATATTCTAAAATGATATATTTTCAAGTTAATGAAAAAATATAATTTTTTAATTCAATAAAAATTTATTTAAGCATATTTAAATTCCAATGCAACGATATTAAAATATCTATTAAATAAATGTAAATGCAAAAACACTAAAAAAAATCATATCAATTTCACTTGCAATGATATATATAAATATATATATAATATATATATATATATATATATATATATATAAGGATAGCACAATTTTGCATTCATAAATATCTAAATTTATATTAGCTACTATTATAATTTAAATTAATGCATTTTTCTCTCATTTTCCTTTTTTTCATTGATTTAATCTTTTGATTTCTTTTTCTAATTTTGAATAGTTATTATTATTTAAATGACTTATTTATTATTATGACTTTTTTCACTATAGAATTTATTATTATGATTGAATTGATTTTAAAAAATATTTATATAATAGATTTATTTTCTTTCTTTTATCTCAAAAAATGAAATAAATAAAAAGTGGGAAAAGTTAGATTAGTTTGATTACTATCTAATACATATATATATATATATATGTATGTATGTATATATATAATTTAAAAATAGTTATTCGATCTTTGGTGAACATGTGGTTAATTGGTTGGCAAAGGGTTAGCACCGACGGCCAAGATGATCAACTGGAGTGCACCTACCCAACACAAAATTTCACCCTCTGTCGACTCCAAAACCTTTTTTTTTTTTTTTTGTTTTGTCTTTAACTCACATGACAATAAGGTTAAGTTAGCACCAAAAAGAAAAAAGGATTTTATTTTCTGTATTTTTCTTTTTAAAAAATTACCTTTTGGTTGTTTACCGGTCTTTACTAAGAATTTGATCAAAAGTGATCAAATACATATTACATCCTTAATTTATTGTTTTAAAGCATCTTATAATATATATATATATATATGTTACAAAAGTTTGAGAAGTTGCTAGTTTCTCAAATGAACAATCATATTAATTTTATTAGTTCAAAAAAAAAAATTATCCTTGCTTTTGCAAATATGTAAGTGTGAATGGTTTTTTAAGATGTGACGAGCCAAGAAGCCCTGACGATGAAATGAGAAATGGTTTGGGGAAGGTTTGGATTTACGGTAGAAAAACATAGTCAGAGGTGTTAAAGTTGATTTTTTTTGGGATGCGTTCTAATGCTCTAGTCAATCGAATGTTTGAGGTTAAAAATGGAAGAAGAAGAGGGTAAGTAATCAAGAATATTGAGTAAACTTGAGGAAGAAGGATTTAGAGTTGTATATCTCAACCTTTTTTACTTTATATATAAAATAATGGGTGATGATGTGATTAATATTGGTGATAATTAATGGAAATTTTGTGGAATTCGAAAAAAAATCATATAAATAAATGTGTGTTTAATTTAATGATCTTAAATATATCTCAAATAAATTGAAGGTCAATTAATCCCTTGTCAGATGATGTATTGGTAGAATATTAATGGTGGTGGTTGTGTGAACTAGAAGCGAGCACATATTATGACAAAAAATCTGGATGTCGACCTTTTTGGATGGGGACGTCACAGTTGGACATGTACTAATTTAATGAATATGAAAGTTAACTTTGTTGACTATGTGAGAAGTAATATTAATAAGTTTGAAAATTAAAAAGAAAAGAGTTATAAGTATTGGAATGTGAATTTTAAACTTATTAAATGTTAAGTGATTGTATGAATTAATTGAATTTAATTTAAAAATTTTTTAACTGTATATTTATATATTACATAGATTATAGATTAAAAATAAATTATAAATTATAGATTATAAACAAAAGATAGCAGTACGTCTTTCTTGCAAATTAGGCTTAAAAAGTTCATTCATTTCAGCCAGTTCGGTGTATTTTCTTTATGTCCTAAACATTGGGCTCAGACTCTGCCCATTTGCTTGTGCGATCATGTTTGAGCCTGACCCCTTTTGGCCCAATTGAAAGTACAACAATGGTGGGGTCATCAGGAATAACTAACAAACACTGATCATAGTGCCATGGTCCCAGTCCAGAGAAAACTTTTAACACAAAAATTGAGGACAACCTGGCCTAAAAGTTGGATCCAGGCAGAGGCCTTTTGTTCAGGCTCACATAATAATCTTGCAACCAAATACCATAAAATATTAGTGGTACCAGTTAAGATCCATATGCTTATTATTAAGCAGTAAAAATAACCAGCTTCCATAGTTTAAAATGGAAACTCAGAAAAATATCCTTTTTTTTTTCTTTTTATGAAAAAGGAAAAACATTAAAAAGAGATTAGTGGGCATAATTATGAATCAAAATGTGGCTTTATTATTAGAAATGAGCAAGCAGAGTTTAGATTTTATAGCTATAAAGTGATTTCTAGTCCATGTTCTGAAAAATTATCTATCAGTGATGCAATTTTAAAATTTCACAAGCAGATTAAAAGGTAGACATGCATCCCATTAAAATATATTTATAAAAATTAATAAATTAATAATTATTAAGTTGACATATGATAATAAATTAATTCATTTGTGAAAATTTAAAACTCTTCCCTTATATGTTTACTAATTCATATTCAATGGCTAAAATAGTAAAACTAGAATTTTCTTTTCCTGAAATGTTCCTTTCCTCATATGAACACAAAAATGCTCGATATAAATGAAAGGACTACCCATTAAACGAGTGAACCTTCCACTACGTCCAGTTCTTATTACTACATAATAAATTTAGGTGACAATTTTAAATTGTACTAATTATTTGGAAATTTTCGAATAAACGCATGACTACAAAGAGAAAAATCCAAACCAAAATAGAAAGCGGCAATAGCAATGAAAAAGAAAAAGCAAGCAATCAGAGATAAAAAGCCAGGCCATTGCTTGCTAGCTATCTAAATTGATAATTAAAAAAGCGAAAGGCGTGAAGGGGAGATAATTGGAATAAAAAAAGCACAGCAAAGACAAAGTTGCAAATGTTTGTGATGATTCTACAACTGTGTACGATGCCCCATTACAGGCCATCATGGTGTTTCCAATGCACTTTTTCTTTAACCAGGCACCATAAAGAAAATAGAGTTGCTATACTGAACACTGACAACTAAGCTGTTTATCAAAGAATCAAAGAAAATTCTGTTCAGGTTTCATCCTTTTGTGATCACCTTGTATGTTTTTTTATAGTTGTTACAATTTTCTATGGCAGTGTCACCGGAATCCATGCCTGAAAAGCCCTTCGATTTCCGTGCTCCGCCACCGTCTCCAATTGCTAGTGGCCGCAGGTCCTGCGTTACCAATGATGATGTTCTCTCTGAATTCCTTGAACATTCTCTACGTGTCCCTGATTTAATTTTGCCTGACAAGGTCTTCCCTAGGCAAAAGTTCATTGAGAACCCGCCAAAGATTGATTTCCAGCTGTTGAGTTCCATGGAAAGTGATACTCTTCCCAAGATTCTGGATTCTATAGCAACAATCGGATGCTTTCAGTTAGTGAATTATGGAATTCCAGGGGAATCTATCCTCTCAGCCCTGGCAGCGGCTGCTGGAATTTTTCAACTGCCACCAGAGAAACGGGCAGCAGTGACCAGGTCACCGGAGAAGTTGTACGGATTTGAGGAAATTCACGAGGAAGAGGAAGGTGAAATGAGTGAAGAGTTTGTTTGGTGCAGAGGTGAAGGCTTGAAGTTGGAAATGGAGGGAATTTGGCCTGTTGGGTATTCAAATTTCAGGTAATTGTCTTTTGGCGTTTTCTAATTCAGTTTTGGCAGTATTAAACAAATAAAATTTGGGACTTGTTCTTTTTATCAAACAACACAATTGTCTAATTCCTCGATACTTGTCAACATATTCAGTGAGAAAATGGAAAATCTTTTGTCTGACATCGAGAAAGTGGCGGAGAAAATCCTGCTGGTCATCACGGAAAGTTACCCAACAAAACCAGGTTATGAAAATGAAATGATGCAAGGGCAAGATGTCGTTGGCTCAGCATGTTATCTCTACAAGCATAGCCAGAATGTTTCAGCTGACAAATGGAGTAGCTCCCTCAGATATGACGTGATCAGAATGCTGATAAGAGGGATTGATTATTCACATGCCTTGTGTTTGCATATCTGTGATGGATCTTCTGAGTTTCATGTGTACTCAAAGAAAGGTTGGGTGTCTTTCCGCCCAGATAAAGATGCTTTGGTCATAACAATTGGGGATCAAACTCAGGTAATTTAGATCTATTTAAAGATTGTTTTGAGCTTTTTTTGGACCACATTGTGCTTGCTGCAAATTTTGCCAGCAAATTGCAGAACTGAAGGACTGGCTAGCTAGCTAGTCTAGTTGAAGTGTTTGTCATCAGCCAGGTTATTGCCTCTCTGATCCTTTTTAGCCATCTGCTTAGCCCAAATACATGATCTCAATCTCCCTCAAGGGAGGACGTAGTCTTTATGGTAGCTGTTGATAACAAAAAATCAGAACCATCAACATGTATCTGCTTTATGGGACAACATTATGCTAGATAATAAAAATACACTAGCAACTAAAAGGCCCAGCAACAACACTGTTTTTTCCCTGTCTTGCACTTATTATTATTATTATTTTTTTTTTAATATTTGAGGCTACAAGAATTTAAACTCCGGTCGTTAAGACTTAAAAATCCAACATTTTACTTTACTTTTTCGACACTTAGACAGCTAATAGTAAGATAGCGACCTTTACAACTGTAAAAACACAATATAATAGATGACCAATTTCACTATATGTAACCTTGATTTAGATAGATTTAAGCATCCTAATCAAGATTCCTTTTTTATTAAAAAAAAAAAATCTATCATTACTTTCTTTTCTTTTTAATGCAATGACAGCTATGTGGGTCTGATCTCATCATACTAGAGGGAAAATTCCAATAAAACATACGTAAACATGAATTCTAGGCCACAGTCATTACTAAATGCATTATGTTCCTGGTGTCACAGGCATTAAGTGGTGGGCAATTCAAGCATGTAATTGGAAGGCCTATCTATAAAGGAGAGAAAAAAGAATACATTTCGATGGCATTCCTTTACACTCCTCCAAGCATCACCAGCAGGCCGGTTGACCCAGAAAAGGGAAAGACTATTTCACTTAGCCAACAGGCCATTGCTGCAATAGTTTTGACTCTTGTATACCATATTTTAGTCTATGTTTACAACAAATTCTAATTGTTGTTTAAGATTCATCCATCAAGCAATGAAGAGTTACAATTCTTGATACTCTCATAAATCTTCTAAACTTCATTTTGCCTCATAATCTCCTTCGCCTTTTTAACTCAATGAAAAATGTTAGGCTGGGATCAAATGAGCAAGGAAAAGACCTTGCTAATTTGAGAAGCAACAAGAAAACAATGGAAACGAGTGTAAATGATAATTTAAAAGTTGATACGGTGATATAACAAAAAAATGATATAAAATAAAATATAACAGTGAAAGGTTTAAAATTTTTAAAAAATTATATATAAATTTGATAGAAACTAAAAAAATATATTTTATATTTAACATGTTAACACGAATTTGATATAATAATTTTTTATATTTTACATATTTGACACAACAAAAATATGTTATAAATATATGAATTGTCATATTTAAAAAAAAAAAAAACATAATTTTGAAATTTAAAATTAAGATTAAAACATTGAAAAAAAATAAAAGCTCACATATAATCATGCCATGGTAAATTACCAAATTGTCATCCATAATACCTTATAGCACTCTTAATAGAACTTACAGCCCGTCAAGGCTAGAGAGAAGGCCCAAGATGTTCTTTGTTTTCAAAAAACAAGCGAGTTTGATGGCCAATTTGGATGCAATCGACATCCACGGTGAGGTGCCGATTGCATCCATAAAAGCCTTTGGATATCATTTGGATAACATGGTGGGAGTATAATTGAAACAATTCATCTTATTGATGTCTTCTTCTTAGTTAGTGAAAATTGGTCAAGTGAAGAAACAGTGATCAATTTTGATTTTTTTTTCCCTTCCCAACATAATACAAAAACAGCAATATCCCTATAATTTAACCTTTTTTATTTCTATTTTTCATTTTGATATTTTATTTAAAAATTATAAAATATTTTTATTAATTTAATATAACAAATAAAATTTATTATTTTTAATTATTTATCAATAAATTTATTGTTTTATTTTAAAATAATTTAATAATTTTTACTTGAATATTCTCAATAATTATTTTCTTTTTCACTCCAATTCAACTTACCACTACCACTATTTTTATATTTAAACACATATTTAATCATTAATTTTAATTTTATCGTTATATTAATTAATCCAATTAATATAAGCCCCCTGACTCTCTTACATAAATCTTGGAAAACCAAAGTCTCTTAATTTCAGCTACATTTTTTGTAGTTTCAAAAGTGTTGGCAGCTAGTTTTAGCAGCTTCATTCCATTTCTTTTCATTTTTTAAAGCAGTATCAACTGGAAGAAGAAATGTCCACACTTTTATATGCTAAAAGGTGTACAAATTTATCTTTCATTCATCCTATACAAGGAAAAGTTACTATGACAAACCTGGTTAATAAAAGGTTCCATCTGATGCAAGAGTTCATATCCCTGCAAACAACAAGGGTCCAGAAGTCGCACATATTAAGAAGATACCACCCGTAAGAAAAAGACGAGTTGTCATCATATGACATGTTCCATACCTGTTTGAAGAATCGAAGGTGAGCATTTATCATCCCACTAACAGCCTACAAAAATTCAAACCTCTTTTCGGCTTCAAACTTGGACAGAGCACTAACCTGGACATAGCAGAACAAGCATATTTACAACTTCCAGTAAACAAATGCATATAAAATTGAACACGCATTCATTTACAAAAATAACTTACCAGATTGAAGCAGGTTTGCTCAAATGAGGCTCTTGCAGTATGAAATCCTGGAATGTCTCTCTACCAAATTAGATTTTGCAAGATAATGGTTAACCATGACAACAATCAATTTATGCACTTTCAACAATAATTCTTTGGGTATATACCTCCTCTATGGCCGCAGTTACATCCACCCTAGTGCTTTTCTGTAATGACAGAAACTTCTCTCGTGCTGTATGGCAAAATGGGCAACAGCACCAATTGCCACCATTAAGAATATACTATCCAGAATGTTATAAAGCACTAACTTTACAAAAACAGTCCACTAAAACCAGTTCTCGAAGTCAAAGTCATGATGACTAGTTGTTTCAATCCTCAATCAACTCTTACACGTGCGTTACTTATAAAGATATCAAGTAATTGCTTGGCAAGAAAATTCAATTTAGGGTCTACTTGGTTGTTGCTTTAGCTAATTGCAATTTGTTTCATTAAAGTTGGTAAAAAGCAAATGATGAAAAAGCAAAATCATTATTGGTTAAAAATGAGCAAATAATTAGAATGTAACATACTTTTTAAACATAATTATTCCATACCAGAAAAAAAACATCCATTTTGATACTTACAAACCTTCATTTTTTTAGTTTATGATTATTTAAAATATAATTGATTATTTTTATCCAAACGTGACTTTTGTCTTATGCTTTCAGAAACCAAAAGCAAGTAGCAAAGGAAACAACAGAGACTTTATGAACATGCCATCCCACTCTGTGGAGAGACCTTAACTCTGTATAAGAATCTAGAATCAAATATAAGATAAACATTGCATGGGCACTGTTTCCTATTGCCAGCATTCCCCTTCTTGGTTTTTGAATGCACATCAATACTCCACATCAGGGAAAGTTCAGAAATGGTGTCCTAAATTGTGCAATAATATATCAAAATATGGTTAGTATTTTCTATTTTTAACAAGATGTGCAAATGCTTCAAGGTCCCAGCATTTTAAACAATTTCTATCAATAAGTATAAATTTATTATAAATAATCATCATGATGCTTAAAACTGAAGGCAACCTTATCACTGGAGAAATGAAAATCAAAAGGAAGGAAAAAAGAATGAGTGTTTAACACTTTTATTTGAAACTCACATATAAGTGAAGCCTAGTCAAAACGTTTTCGGGCATCCTCAAACAATGGTTTAACAATGGGTCAGAAAATATGAGAGAAACCAGTTAACATCACCAAGACCGTCATGTAACAAGTTGTTCCGTTATTTAAGTGAAAAACTCAGATAGAAGCTGGTGACCCCAGTCGGCAGTGACCTAGTCATCTAGAAGCAGGTGACACCATTTGAAAGCTAAGCAGAAAGCAGTAAAATTAGATAACCATGGACCTTATCCTTCTAGGTCAAATATGAGAAGGAATAATAAAATTTATCCACTATGCATGCAGGCCAATAAGACATTAATGACACTACAGAGAACAAACGTACCCTAGGACCTTTCAATGGTACATGTAGGTAAAACATGGATGAAACATCTATCTTATGATAAAGAGTACCTTGACATCTTGCATATCAATATTGACAAGCTGAAGCAATCTATCATTTAGCATGTGGCTCTATCAGAAAAAGTAATAGAAATGTTAGAAGAAGAGGTTAAATTAATAAAAACAGTTTCACCATATTTCATAAACTATTTTGCTAGGGAGAAACAACTTAGAAGTTTAATGTAAAACAAAATGACCTTTCTGTTGTAGCAGAAACTTCAAGCATATTGTTAGAGAATGGTCAACCTTAGAAAAATTGAATGTGCTAGGAAGTTTTAATGGAAGTGATGTGTGTCACATAAGGAAAAGAAATACCAGATAAGCATACAAAATAGAATTGATGAACAACTTACCAATTCATTTGTGTGAGATCCACACACTACGATCTGATACTATTAGATAGATAATTTAAGATGGAAACAAATCTTTGCAAAAAAAGTCCCAAATTATTAAATCATTAAAATAATTAGTTAATTTGTACCAAAAAATAAAGTAGTTAGTTAATGACTTAAATTGAGTCTGAACATTTAGATTTTGAAATTTTTATTTGTTTCTGGGACAAGAAGAACCCAATCACCTTCCCTCTATTGTATCACAGACTCCTTGGTTGTAAACTCTTAAGGTTGGTCATGAGGTGCATAATTAAGACCTGCAGTATCCTTTTCTTTGTAATTATTCATAATTTACACTACAATTGCTTAAGATGAAACTAGTTCTACAGCTACAAATCTTAATAGAAAATACTTTTTATGCTTTAAGACATAAATCATACACAAAATTGTCATATCAATAAATTCAATAATCAAAACCCTACATAAAATATAAAGATTATACAAGATGTTTTAACAAGGCACCTCTAAAATCACAAAAGTCACTACCATGTGAGCGAAGAAACTCCCTTGTAAGTGCCAAATTCTCTCAATGCAATGGTGAATTTTGTCATGACTGGACCTGAGGAAACAGTGTAAATTTCATCAGTGAGAACAGCAGTATTATATAAGCAGTTTATTGCATTTCCAGATATTACAATAACTTACGTTTTATATACCAACCATGGCAGGCAGAGGGAAATAGATCAGCATGATCAATTTAAAGTAAAACTATAACAAGATAATTATTTTTCAAGAAAAGAAACAAAAACATTCTTTTTAAGTATCAATTTTATCACAAAATGAGAAATTCTGGTAATTAGCATTGATTTGTCAAAATATTTTTAAAGGCTTTACCTTTCTCAAGTGATAAGGACACAGAAATGATGACAATACAAAAAGCAGATCAAAAGTAAATGGGAAAATAGATGTTAACACCATGGAATACCTAAATGGACATAATCTTTGCAGCTCTAAATTATAGAAAATGAAAGATAAGCGGTTTCAAGATATTATTCAAAGGGGACACAGGAGGGTTAGAATGAGTACCTCCAAAAGCAGCACATATACAATCTTTATGCCCCCCTCCAAAAGTTTCAAGGGCATTTATAAAAGCAATGTCACCGTCATACCTCTCTCCAATCCCTTCTCTGGTATTTAGAATTTAACAACCATGTGAGATCATTCAATAATATGAGGCCTTATTGGGGGAAGTACTGTTAATTGAGCAAAAATAACGAATGGGCAGCAAGATAACAATTAACAATTCATATTTGAAATTGTTGTGCACTTACAACTTATTGGACTAGCAGAAAAACACCTAAGCACAGTTTCTCTTACGATTACAAGATATGAGCTTCAGTTTGTTAGTTCTTGCCTTACTAAGAAATATAGCATTTGTAATTAACTAATAACACTTTTCTCCCAACAGCCCCATTCTCAAGGATTCTAGAGTGGCCTGAGGTCTAAGAAAGCTTGAATGGAGCCACAAAGGAGATCCCCTTAACTGCATAGGAAAGGAAAAGCATATCAAGCGCCTGTTTGAGAAACCATTTAACAATTACGAATGAGTACTTTTAAGCAGTTTATACCTCCATGAGTTGCTATTCCAGAGGCAATTTGTGTACACAAACTACAGAAACAAATGTAAACGGTAAACCTATGTGTATTTTTTACATCCTTTGTAAAACTTTAAACATCTTCCTCCCATCGACTCATCGTTCTCTTCCAAGCATTCTACCAGTTTCACCAAGCCATACAACAATTACTAGCAGAATCTAAGATAAACTAACCAAAACATAGTGCAAAAAGGAATCTGCCAACAAACGTTTCCACTTGAAGAAGAAAAGGAAAACAAAGTTCTCCAAAAAGGAAACTGCAAATAAATTCCTCGTGTCAGAAAAAATATCGTGTCAAAAGAATTTAAAAAAGAAAAACAAGTGGATTGAAAGGCTAAAATTACAATAAGATTTATTATTGCCAAAACGCGTGAATGCATATGGAAAATGATAAAAAGATCGTATTTTCCACCACTAATTCTCCTAGAAATTTTAACTAGACGTGCACTAAAGCAAAATTTCCTGTTTATTCTTGAATAAATGACGGAAAATAATTGCATTATTAAAAACGCAGCATTGCCAAAAGAAGAAGTTCTTCGTTTTTCGCAAAGAAAATTAATTTTGATAATTATAATAATCTTTTTCCTTTAAAATTTCCAATTTTTAATGGTGAAAGGAGATTAGTATATGTTGTTAGAACTACCTCTGCGAACTTTCATGGCTGTCACTCATTTTTATTTTAAAAAAAAATTTTACAATAAACGAAACCCGCCATTTCTGCTTCTCTATCTGACTCTCTCTCAAAAAGGACCCAACTCTCCCTTTTCTCTCTCTAGATTGTGCCAGTGCCTTCTTTACTTTTGCTTTTTACTAATAATTTTTATTGTTTGATTCCCAACGGTGAACCTGATCAATAAATGAAAAAGAAAAAAAAATTAGATCAACAAATCCCAAAAAACTACTGTTGAAATTTTCTCTTTTTTTCTTATAAAAAAAAGAAAAGGAAAAAGACTTGAATGGAATCATGAACGGTGAGTTTCCGGGGACTATCTTCGACGTCGTATTGTAAACCATGTAATTAGATTCCTCTCACCAAAGGTTCATCAATGCAATCAAAATCCACGCCCCAATCGCCATGGCTAACCAGGACAAACTGCTACGCTAGCTGACGGAAAACCCATAAACTCAGCTTATCAGAGACTGGAGAAATGAAAAAAGAAGCGGCATTTAGCGATAAAGAGAGGATTCCAAAGGACATTATCGGATCAGTAGTGGAAAGTTAGAATTCAAGTGAATAGAGCAAAAGAGGTCACTTTGGTGGAAGTGGGAAACTTTCTTGAAGAAGAGAAAGAACAGTCCTTGATTTTGAGACTTACCGTTTGGGCTTATCCATACTCTCAAAGGTTTCTTCAGCTCCAAGTTAACAGCGAGTCGGTGATTCTTTTCCGATTAACTCGCTTTCAGTTAAGAACGGTCATTTTGGTTACTCCCAATCGTTACTCGCCACGTGTGCAACTTTTGAAGCGTGTTTCGCGCGAAGTCAATGCCCTATAGACTGTAGCAAAGAAATAATAATAATAATAATTAAAGAACCAAACATGCCTTAAACCAAGATGGACCCCACAGAAATCTAGGGGGATCAGCTCCATCCTATCACAAGATATAAAAAAAGAATGAGCGACAGCCATCAAATGCTCGACACCACTACCTTCCTATTCCCTCCAAAACTCCCCAACAAAATAGAACGACACCATTCAAAACCACCGTAACAACCGACGCCATCCCCCCCCCCCTTTCCACCGCCGCCTCCTTTACCAACCTATCCGCTGTGGATAGTACCACCATTGCTCTCATGGGTGGAGGTTCCATACCATCTTTAGCCGCCGTTCTCTCCCTCATTGACCCCGAACGCCGACGCCGCTTCCAGGCAGAAGAAGTCTGCGACGGCCGAGAAAGAAATCGTTAGAAACTAATTTATCAATTCCGGTTTCCAGAGATGGAAGAAGATTTATGGAGAGACGATTGATGTGAATAAGCTCATTGTCATCAATGCCTGATGTCGATGCAAGCTGGAGAGCAGTGTTACCTTCTCCATCTATAGCTTGTGGATCCGCTCTCCTGCAATTGTGGAAATGTCAGTTGCCTGTACAAAATTATGAATATATATATGCACAAATGATGGGAAAAGGGGACCAAAACGAGGGCAGAAAAACGATTTTCACCATGGCCTTGCACTGATAGTGTATTATTATTTGAAGTGAATCTACTGCAGTTAGTTATTCCTGAATGCTGATTCTTCAGCGAACTATGGTATTCTCAACATTGAAACATATCTTACCAAATATATTTCCACAAGATACTTGAGTCATAATGTAAATATTTTCCTTTACAAACAAAAACAAGGATACTTCAGCATTCAGATCCTTCTGTATCCTTATCAAATTGTTGATAATAAGTAATGCTCTTTTTCAAGCTTTGTGTCTCACATGTCGAAAGGTCCAATCACCCAACCAAAAGCTTTTTCTAAAACCTATTAAATGAATTGCCAATATCATGTCATAGAAAGAAACAAGGTTCCCCAAACACATATGTATGACATACCTTTGATATGTGTAAACCAAGACTGCGATGAATTCCAGAACATTCAATGCATATAAGTACACCAAGGTTTAAAGATGCCGAGTCTGCTCAGGTGCACCACAGTCGGCACATTTATCATTCCCAGCTACTCTTCTTAAGATATCAATTGGCTTTTCACTCTTTGTGCAATATTCTTGATGCTGTAAACTTCTAGATATATCTAAATGACTTCCAGAGGAGAGATTCTTAGATTTACGTTCCCCAATATAATAACCAATCTCACCATAGCTATTTTCAAATGTCAGCAGATCTAATGTGACCGTCAATGGAAATGTAACCTACTCTTTTGAGACTTGCTGAAGGGATGCAATAAACCCTCTGACTCTGTTACACAAACCTTGGAAAACCAGAGTATCTTTTATTAGTGGCTTTTGAAGACTGTGTGCCTGTGCGAGCAAAGATTTTCAGAGCTTGATCAGACATGGATGACAAAGATTCATGGGATTCCCTCTCTGAATTAATACTAGCAGAGGTAACACACATATCTTTCTGTCTTTTCACATTTTCCTCTTATGGGTCTTCATTTTCACTCCTTTTAAGTTCTTAACCTCCATGAATCCCCCCCTTTTAAGCTGTAGCTTAATGTTCTTAGTTGATGAGCGCATAAATGAAAACAGTGTGCTTTATTGGTGTGTCCCGTTAGTATATAGGTCTTGATTTTCCCTCTTTAATCTGCAAAAGTTCCTCAGTTTAAGCCAATTATTATGATTGCTGTTTTGCATAAGTGTTACGAATTAATGATTCTTTCCTTTTATTTTGATAAAAAAAGATTTTGGAAATGGAGAATATTTACAAGGAAATGGGATAAGAAACGCTTAATAAAGAATTCTGCCATAAGCTTGCTACCAACTTCAGGTTAAGAAAAAAAAAAACCACTATAAGATATGCAAATTATATGCTTTTACCTGAAGATTCTTCTTTTTTTTTTACATAAAAATATGTAATAATTTTCAATTTCTTTACGTTGGATTGCTTTGTCCTTCCAGCTGCTCTTCAAATCGTATGGGAAGATCTGCTGTAACATGGGAACAGGTTTGCTTTATTTATATGATAGGATATGCCTGCTGATTTCATAATAGGTTGATATCGACATTCAAACTTTTTTTGTCTTTTTATCTTTTAGGTCCAAATATGGTCGAAGAGATACGAGTGGAGACACTAACTAAGCAAGCGTCGTCACCAATGGCCTTAAAGCTATTTGTTGATCTTTTGTTACTACATTAACCAAAGATGTCACTTTCGTAAAGTCGGAAGTTATGGTACGTGCTAAAATACCGTAATCATTGGGGGTGAAGAAGAAACCAAAAATTATTTTATACAACATGGCTTCATGAAACTTGTTATGGGGTTAAGATTAACTTATAGCAGACTAGAAAAATTAAAATTTGCATGGCATAAAGCAATGAAGTGGATGTCTGAATTTACTGCTATCTGATTTGGTTTAATTAGGTTGACCTACTAATTTATGCGCACACAACATTCTACCCAATGCTTTCCTTTCCGAGTGTGGATGTTGTGTTCATATCCCTGTGGCAACCTTAGCTTGGAAGCAGAGATTTTTCTTATTAGTAATGCCCACAAGATTACTAAGTTAATATATGTCTTAAATAGCATTAGTTCCGTTAGATTGATGTTTTTGTGACTTGCTTTTTCGCTATTTGCTTTTCATTTTTCTGAAGATTTGCTATAAAGCAAAAGTAAAAGGTGAAAAACAATATCATAATTGATTTAAAATAAACAAATAATTAAAGAGTAATACCAATTATAACATAATTGAATCATGCATTTTTCATCCAAAAAAACCTACATATTTTGTGTATAACATTTCAAAAATTTATCTGCTTTAGTATCCAAACGAGTTTTTTGCTTCTTTGTTTATGGAAGTAAAAAGCATATAGTAAAAATGTCAACCAAACAGAGCCTTTTTCTATGGTCTATTTAAAATATTTTACACAAGTGTGTGACCATCTGATTAGATATAAGATTCAACACCATCCGATTAGATAACGATACATCCTAATGTTCAAGCATACACGAGCATGATGGCCTCTTAATATTGGCAAATATTCATTTCTGACGCTAAAACCAGGAAAATGTTCCGCTGACCCAATAATTGCGAAGAAACAAATGGAAATTAATTGCGAGGAATTCTTCAGCAAATCTTTGTAAACAAGACCTGTCTACCAGTTTATGATGAGCTTTCATCCAATTTTTCTTCTTTGTGTATAAATTTTTGCTTCTTAAAAGTAGCAATTTCTTAACAAGCAGCAGAAGCAGCGGCAGGGCCAATCATCCGCTACTGCAACCAGCATAAGAGTTACAACCTCACTAATACTAGGTTATACTTTTCCTTGACAATTTGAAATGACAAGTCATTTTTAAATGGCATAACATGTCTGGATATGTTAAATTTACATTTTAAGTTTTTTTAAAAAAACACTAAGATGCTGACGATTATGCTTACCGTAGTAGTCCACTCAAATTAAACCATGCGTGGTAGGATCAAAGAAACATAGGCAATGTTACTGTGTTTCATGTCAAAAGCAAACCACCAAAACCAAATGAATATGAGAAACTTGCCATTTTGCGTCAGCCCTAAACAAAGTACTTATTAATCAAGACTATACAGAGTTTAACAGACCCATCATTTTGGGCTTTTCCAGGGGTACATCACCGCAGAAGGGAAATTCCACACGATGGAAGGTCGCAACATAAAGTTCAACTAGAAGATTCTATATTTTAGTTACAATAAATTAAAGCCTGTACTGGTCAAAATTTCTCTAAGCCTACACAGCAACCCAAGACTGAGGGTTTCCAGCATTTTACCATGTGGACAGCTAGTGGAGTTTGACAGGCCCACATCTTCAAGGATGTCACCAGGGAAACCACAAACAAATGAATGGGGCAGCTCAAGAAACTGTTCGTCCGTAACAAACTGAAGCTAAGTAAAGATTCTTCGCCCATTTCTCCTGCAAGACCATAATGAAATTTAGGGACAATTAAGTGAAACAGTAGCCAAAAGCTATTAAGGTTTATGTAAATCATTAATCCACCTTGACATGAGTGCTAGGAAATGCTGAAGTTCTAAGAGTTTCCTGTGTTTCATCTACTGGCCTCCTTCTTGGCACACTAAGAACAAAAGCAGCCTGGTCCCAAGTTGCAGCAGTAGCTGTTATGCGATACCCACAATCCCACCGACGATGGATGCCTTCACTAGGATAAAGGAAGTCAAGTTCAACAACCTGGAATGAAAATACAAAAACACTTAGTTATATATGCTTCTTTTACAGAATGTAGTGGGATTAAATGCCATTAAAGTTGATCAGCACCTGGTCAGAAAATCCAGCACCGCGAGACATAACAACTCCCCATCTGCTACCAGAAGTGGCCATTGAGGTGACATAGAAACCCTCTCTCCATTTCTTGTTAATCCACTTAAAAGGAAAAGACTCACTCACTTTGTATGACTGCTGCAAATACGAAGTACCTGAATGCAGAGAATCAAAGGTAAGTAAACAGAACCCAAACAGTTTTGACCAAGAAAATCAGATATTGGAACGTTGCATACTAACCCTTTGACATTACTACTAAGGAGCCTCCATTTGTAGCCCCTGCTATTGCGCTGATATAATAGTTCTTCTCCCACTGCTCCATTATCCATTCCTTTAGACATAGGAAAACATCAAATCAATCACTCCGCTAGAATCTTAAGGCAGATAACAGAGTAAAATAGAACATATTAAAGCTAAAGAATTGTTTCACACCAACAAAGTATATAAAACCATGTACCTTGTGAAGGAAATAGGGTGAGAGTTCATAGACTTGTGCAGAGAATCCAGTGCCAGCATCCATGATAAGGGCCCATAGATTTTGGCAGCAAGCTACACTGCTAATAAATAAGCCATCCTCATTTCCTTTTTCAATGTGCTGTGCAAGCCTTTCATCTGCTACATTATAGTGATACCTGCAAGAACGTAACCAATTAAACTTCCCATCCTCAACTATTCTCAATACTTAAGCAACTAGATCACTAATTAATTTACTGATAGATTTAAAGCGTAGAAAGATGACCAAGGCAGACAGTAAACTGTACCAATGTGTGAAATCAACTAAAAAAAAAGACAAGACTGGTAGGATCAATTAGATTAATAAAGCAGTCCCAAAACTAAACTAGAGAACAACAAATAACTTGAGGCATAAATACCTTTGCTTCATAGGTCTACGAGCATTGTAAACACTAATCCATTGCGTTGCTGGCATGCCCAGACGAACCTTCTTCTTTGGTTGCTCATCTTCCTCCTCATCCATAGATAACCTACCTCTCTTTTTACCAACTTGATGAATAAGCTTCACACAAAATTTAAAGAAAAAAGATAGAAGTCAGGAATGTCAAATTTAATGGCCAAGAAAAAAGTTATCGAAGTTTATTCGTAATAATAATAAACATTTACTAATTTTAGACCCTCTTACACCCAAAATTACTTTGAAAGCCGAAACAAGACCCAGTACAAGAATAATCTTTACATTGAGAAAGAATAATATGTACCTCCAGCGCACCTTCTGTGTTAATTGGACGGATATCTGGATTTGGACCAACAATCCCATCAAAGAGAGAAATGTATTTTGCATAATTAGGTTCTTCATCAAACTTTAAGTTGACAACATATTCAACAAAATGTTTGAAAGGAATTGGACAGAAGCAACACAAGGCCTCTGGAGGTGTTGACATCTTCTTCTTGCAAACAAGGAACCCTTTATTCTCTCCCTGATATCATGTTAAAAAAATTAAAAGAAAACCTTAAAAGATTATATGCATGACCAAATGCAAGAAAGAATATTCGAGTTAAAAGAGTTGACATGAATGAAGGACCGACCTGGTATCCTTGCCAAGGCAAACGACCTCGAAGAAGGAAAACAAGTGTATATGCAAGAGATTCTAGATCATCTCTCCTGCTACAAGTTCTCCCTAAATGAGCATGCACACTGGCATAACGGACCGTTCCCCTGACAGACAAAAGCACTCCCTTTAAATAAGATATTGAAGCAATATACAAAAACATCTTACAATAATCATAATCTAAGCAGTGTAGTACCTAAAAACATCAGGCCTCTGGTCATATTCAACATGCAAACCTGTTGAACTATCTCGCCACCTGGTTGCTGATTGCCGAAACAGGCTAGCATTGATGAGGTATTGATTTATATGGGAATGCTTAATAATATTAATGATATGACTTAAAAATTACCTAATCCAAGATCAACAAGGAATAATTTTTTTTCACCAGGAGTTCCTGTAGGACCTAGAAGAAAATTTTCAGGCTTTACATCTCCATGCACATAGCTGCCCAGAGTACCAGAAAAACTATTAATAAGCTGGAAGAAACAAGATATGTTCAAGTTAAGAACTACGCTTTTTTATAAAAAGACATTAGAGATCCAGAGAAAAATTCTCATTTTAAGATATTCAACAATCCTGGGGAGGGGGGGCGAACAATGCTTTTCAGGCCAACATAAGGTTAGGGGGTATCAGGGATTGAATTGCTTACCCTCGAGAGTGCATCTTCTCCAATATGGATATTGCTTCAATAGCAATGCAAGCAACCATTTCGACGGACATTCTGTAGTTAAGAGCATATTCTAATTAAGCAACTGAAATGCTGAAAAAGATAAACATAATGGCCAGTAAAAGATTAAAGAATATATCTTAGTTTAGTAGCACTCACGTATGAGAGTTATTATTCCAAACGTCCCACAGACTTGGGCCCAGCAAATCCATAACCTGCATAAATAAGGGTCTAGATCAGACAGACATTCAAAACCTAAACACCAAAAGCAGGCAAGATTTAAAAGAAGAAGAACGGAAATAGAATAATCAACACATACCATGACGTAATAGTCACCTTGACGGCCCTTATGGTGTACTCGGGGTATACCATGACTGCCACCGAGAGTGCTGTAGCAATCACAAGGAATAAGTAAACATTTGCAAGTATAATTAGAAATAAAAGATTATAAGAAGAGATTACTCACTTGTAAACTTGCCACTCATATGGTGGTCCATAGTTACATCCTTTACTACTTCTATGCTCAAATTTCAAGGCAACCTAATGCAGAGTGTAAAAACAAAAAATCTTTGTCTATTAAAGAAGAAACACAATGTCAATTAAAAGTTTAAAAAAAAAAAGAAGAAAAAAACAATGCCATACCTCTAAAGCCCCAGAGCCATTTCTATCATTTGTATTTGCAGCCGAAACACGCCGACCTACACAGACCTGTCCAAAGCCACCCTTGCCCACCTTCCTTTCAATTCTATACATTGGGGAACCCCCAACCTGAACCTGCAGCAAGGTAATTAAGATCAACTTTCAGAAGACATGATAAAGCAAAAGTTACGGCATAAAATCTTGTTACCATAAATTGTAGATCCAAATGTGCGCCTGAAAAAAAATACATCAAAAGCAGGAGGGAAAGACCAAATAAGACACAACAGAAACTATCAAAAACAACTTTGACTTTGCTTTTATTAATCTTACTGAGAAAATGATCCAAAATAGAGGACAATGAAAGCAAGTATGCATGTAGTGGGAACTGGGAAAAACCTTTTTCTTTTTTTGACTTGTTGGAGTTGTTAAGTAACTTAAGCAAGAAGATTATAATATTCTCTTTAAGGACTTAACAAAAATCAGAAGTAGCATAGCTGAAGTAAAATGCAATATGAAGTTAACAATGAGATTACAAAATAAAACATAAAAATACTGAAAAAGACAGGGAGCATCCCTGGTACATATCCCAGTTGGAAAGCCAAAAACATAAACTTCCATTGATATGATTATACCATGGCCATAAATCAAAATAACCAAACATAATAAATAAAAATCTTCTGTAATCAGAGTAAATTCAGGCTAAGCCAGGAGAAGTAAAACGCCATAAAAGGAGAGATACATGACACCTTCACTCCTTCAGAAGATGCCAGAGAAGATCAGCACATACTGTCTCAATATGTTAAAAAAAAAAAAAAAAAACTTTTATTGTAGATAGGTAACCAAAATGAGATAGTAATCATTTTGGTATAGAAAACCTTATTTTGGGGATTGTGATATCAGAATTCTCTTTTTTTTATCCCCCAAAACATCTATCTCAAACACTTCAAATATCAAAACTTCAGGTCCTAAATTATAACAACATATTATCTAGTATATGCACATGCAACCACATCTAGAACTCCTTTGCTGAACTATTAGTCTAATAAGAAGCTTTCACAAGAAACCACGCAATGCCTCCATATTTATTTCCATACCTCTTAATGGGTAACACCAAAGGAAAAAAACTAAAGCATTCCACTCCTAATTCAACAAAAAAAAAATATTGAGTCCATTTTCTAAACACATTCCTTTTTTATTTCACAGAAAGAAATCCCTATATCTTTCCAATAATTAAAGCCTTGTTCTCAAATAAAACAGTAGCTTGGTAAATAAACTGGTGTTCTCATACAACTTGAATTTTAGTTTAAATATTACAGTATTGTGCCCTTAGATGAGAAATATCAGTAAATAATGCTGTACAATTCTTTCATGTTTATACCAAAAAACTGGCTCCCACATAAGATTACAAATCCTGACCGTATTAAACATCCTTAACAAGTATGAAGTCCAAAACATGAATTCCATAAACTATATCCAGTGAGACGGTTAACATAGCTACATGATAGTTTAAAGTAATATACTTTTTAAGAAGCAAATATCAAGCTAGAAGATTCCAAACACTTAAAATGTGATAAAAGAAATGAAAGCCGGAACTCTTCCATATAAGACTAGACTACATCCAAAACGAAATCAAAGTTATCCAGGCTATTAAAACGATCATAAAATCAAATTAATTCCGCAAAAATAACCAATTAACCTGACAGCATTTAAAACAATATAATATAAACTAAAATCGCAATAAGAAAAACCAGAAAAGCCTTTTTTTAAGGAAATCTTAAACCTTTTCAGGAAGCGGTGCGGGGCTGCCTTTATCCTCACCAGCTTTACCCTTATCATTGCTCCGCCCTCCGCTACCGAACTCGTCCATGGGCTTCTCCCCGACTTCCTCTTTCTCTGCTCTTGCCCCTTCCTCTAAAACCCTATTATTATTATTATTATTATTCTCGTTCTCCTTAACTGCCGCTGCCCCAGCCGCCGCTAAAGTTAACTTCTCATCGACCCCCTGCTCCCGCTGTTTAGTATTCTTATTCTCGTTGTCGCCGTTGTTATTGTTTGTCACTGGCGCAGCTACTGCCGCTGCGGCCGCCGCTTCTGCCGCCCTCCTCCGCCGCCTAGTCCGCGTCGCAATCGCTTCCCCTGCCTCGATCGGATTCGGTTGTTGCTGCTGCTGACGTTGCTTCGGTGCTGCTGCCCGTCCCCTACGTGCTCCGCTACGCAGTACCGGCATCGTTCATTCTTCTTCTCCGATTCTCATCACCAAAAAGAAACCCTAAAAGATTGAATTTACTTTTCCGTCCCTTTCTCCTTCTCTTCTCTTGTTCTCCAAGCAATCGCTCAATGAAACCCCGAATTGCAACAATTTTTCAGGAAAAACAAAAAAAGAAAAAAGAAAAGCGCTCAAGAATTTATTATTTATTATATATTATTAGTAGTAGTAAGTAAATCAAATAAAAGAAAGAATGGTAGAAAAAGCACCGAAGGGAGAGAAGACTCCACGAACCGAATAAAGAAAAATTGGAGATTCGATGATTGTGAAAGTTGGGAGATCTGTTCTGTTCACAAAGAAAGTAAAGAAAATTGGGTTTTCAGGTTTTTTTTTTTTTCTTTTACTTATACAAATAAATTGCTCTGGGGAAACAAAAAACAAAGAGGAGGTAATTACGTGGGATAGTGGAGAGCGTTGATGGAGATGGAATACACGGATGGATTGGATTTGGGGTTTTATGTCTACGGGGGACTTTGCTTCCTAAAAAAACCTAGCCACGACGAAGCTGCCGCTGTTGCGACGTTTTTTTAATTATTTTATTATTTTAAGAGTTAGGTAATTATAAAGTAGGTGTGGGTTTATGGTAATTGTGGTGGGATTGGTTGAATGTGGATCGTTGGATTGAGAATTTGTGGGGCTGGATAGATCAGAATGAGGAAAAGATGGTTTTGATCTTTCACTAATAACCTAGGATGGATGTTGGTTTATATTTATACAGCTTTTCAGATGGTTGGGTGGGCTTCAAGCAATCTCAAGTCTAAAGGCCGATAACTTGGGCCCATTGGGTCTAGCTTAGGCCCAAATTAATATTGGGCTCAAAAAGTTAATTGGGTTTAAAATGGATCCCTGTGCTAAAATGGACACTGCCAGTCTGCCATCAACAATCGGTTTATTTATGCGTTAAAATTTTGAAAGGTTAATTTTACAAATGATAGAGAGTTCGAACAAGTTTAGAAGACTAGGAAAGTTAATATTATAAAGAAAATCAAATTTATAACAAGTTCTTGTTCTCCATTAGAAATAAACGAAGTTTATCAATAAAAATTTTAGTAATAACTGAACATTTAATTCAATGATTAACACATATTTTTCCAAACTTGAAAAGCTTGATTCAAACCCCTACATCTCCTAGTGTCAACAAAAAGAAAGAAAATCCATCCTCAATATTTAACAAGAGAGCTACTAACAAATCCATTTTGTAAATTTTACGCGTTAGCAAATCAGTTTAAAAGCACAAGTGTAAAACTAGAGCCTTGAGGATCATATTTGGACCAGGAAGAGCAAGTTTCTTAACCTTGATGTCGTAGGCTTTTTGCGCTTTTGCTGCTTTCCTTTTAAGCCCAATGATCAATTAAAGTTGGGTTCGCTCTGAGACTCCAAGACGATATTTGGGCTTTATTTGGTCCAACCTCCCAATTTTTATATGCCGCTCCCAGTTCCAACTTTCCAAAAGAATAATCCTCCTTATGCTAATAAAAACTTACACATTTAAATTTTTGCAAAAAGGAAAAATAAGGGCTTTTTATTTTTGTCATAGTAGCTTAGTTTTTGTACTTTGGATTCCATCTTCATTGTGATTTTCATGGCTTAAGGTTAAGGCGAAAGAGTCAGCTGGTGGGGTACTTATGTCTAACTGTCTCCAAACCCAAGTTTAGATATTGAGGAAAAGGGAAGAAGAAAAAGAAATGAGGGTGGACGGAAAATATGAGCTTTGGAAGAGGTTTAAAAATAATGCTGTAGATATTTAATTTTATTTGAATTGATTATTTTTGGATCGATACGTTATGATAAATATTATCAAAGCTTTTTACTTTTAAATAAAAAAGATTCAAATTTCACTTTTTAAATAAATAAATCATTAAATCAAATGTTTTAACATTTCTTAAGTTATAATTTAAAAAAAATAAATCTTTAATGAAACATGGGCAAAAAAAAAACCCATAAATTGGTCGAGTTAATATGCATGAAATCCTTATTTTCATCAACTAAAGACAAAAAGCAGAACCTTAATTTGGTTTGTGAACATGAAAATTTACAAACATGAGCAGAGAAAAAAAAGTAAGAAAGTTAGATTGTTATGTGTTTTGCATGTGTCTAAAAACTGTATGGTTAACCGAAATACCAAATAGCCTTGCTTTTGAATCCAAAAATCATGATTTCCATGAGTGCATGTCCACATCCCTTCGCATTACAATTGTAATTTTATTTAACAACGCAAAAAGCCAACTACATTTCTCACATGATCCACCTGATTGCTTATATATGTCCTATCACATGTGTCCAAATCTTACCCTCATTGTACATTTAAATATATGGATAACCAATAATAACCAACTTCTTTTGATCTCTCTTTTTGACCTTTTTCTTTTGGCATTTTGTTAAAGTTTTAAGCGCGTTAAAATCATAGTTACACTGTAATTTTATATTACAATCGTAATGTCCAGTGTTGCTCGAATTTTTATATAATTTTTTTTATATAAAGGAGATTGAAATTTAAAGATAAAATGAAAAGGTTATAAATGTTGAAATTAAAATTTTAGATTTTTTAAATATTATTTTTTAAAAATAATTAAATAAACCAATTATTATATAATTTGATTGAAAGTAAAAGAAAAAAAAATTAAATGCTTGAGCAACATACTTTTGTCATAACACTGTAACACACCCATATAGGTAAGATAAGAATCTCCTCAATTGTAATATTGCTATGACACAATCATAGAGATTAATTATTTGATCCTAATGAGAAACGACAAATGGATGGCAATCAATAAATCCCTTGTCAATTGTATCAAAGATTTGTCTTTTCTTAAAATGTAAGATATATTTATAGATATATACTATATATTTTGATAAACATTGAAATGAAAAATAGATAAGGATTTCAAGTTAAAAATTTAGAAAAACGACAAATAATTAAAGTTTGGAGAAGAATCACTAGCTATTCTTTCCTTGTCTAGAGAGAAAAATATTTTCATTTTCTAAAACTTATAAAATAGTTTCATTATTATTTTACATCTTTATGGTGGAGCTTGCTCTATCACCAAGCATTTGGGAGAAGTCCCACCTAATCAGTTTGTGGGGGTTGGCCAATTAGGATAAGCCCATTAATAATTTTCCCTTTTTTTTCAATAATTCTACATAAAACTATATTTTTTTTCAAAAAAAAAAGTTTAAATAATTATCTTCATTTATAGTCTATTGGGCACTTTTTTTTTTTTGGATAAATCAATTGGGAACTTCAACTTTGTAATAGGTTTAAATAATTTGCCCTGATGTATATCTTTTTATGAGACTAATTATATAATAAATAATAATTATATAATTATAATCAAATACTAATTCTCAACATATATGTCATATAATTAACAATTAAATTTGGCAAAATAAACTAATTAATGAATAAAGAAGACTAACAACAAAGTTGAAAGAAATTTACATAGGATAGAACTTGAACCTATAATTTAATAAAGGTTCAAAATTTACAGTCTCAAAGTCATATAAACTAAATAAATAACAAGAAAAAAATTTTATCTAATTGAACATTTCAAATGAAATATATTATTTAGAAATCCCAATTTTCAAATAAAAATTTCAATTACTAATTTTAAAGTTATCTCAAATTTGAGGGTTCACCATAGATAAAATATGTAAGTAACTTTCAACGGCATCAGTTAATTTTATCGTTAATAGATAATCCAATTGCTAAATTTATTATTCAAAATTAAAAAAAAAAATCAAAAGTAAGCACTAAGGATTCTAATATCGTTAGACAACATGGGATTCATCATTCTAATTACAACTATTGATTTTTTCTTAGGTTAGAAGAAAAGGATTGCCTAATTTTTTATTTTTAATTTCTAACCTACTCTTGATCTCTCTATTTTAATTATGCATATAATTTCTTTGGAAGCCACAATCTTCAATCGCCTATTTTAATGATATGTCGACTGATCTAAAAATCAGTCGAAAAAAGAGTTGCTTAGTTAATTAAAGCAAATTATAGTATTTCTCTTTTTTTTTTAATAAAAGATATCTAAATTTAAGATAAAAAAAATATTATAAGTGTTGAGATTTAAATTTCATATTTACTAAATATTATCTCTATTATATGAATCAATTAAACTAAAACTCAAGGACAATTGCGAACCTTCTCTACTCCCATTAATTTATTCTAAGTTTCTTACAAACTGGTTCCCAGTTGCCGCCTCTGATTCCAACACCTCTTAGGTTTGGCCACAGACAAAAATCCTTATTTTAATTTAAAGTTGATGAGCACTAGATTTTGGACTCTCAACTCTCAAGTAATTTACCTTTATAACAAGTAAACAAAGCCAATTTTAAAGTGGCTAACAAAAGCATGTATCAACTTTAAAGCATACCACCACTTTAACACACAAAAAATATATACATAATGTCAAGACAAAAGGGAAAGGCACAACATCTTTTCTTCTAATTCTATATCTGCCTGCCTATAATTTGGCCAATAGGAATCCATCTAATTTCTTCTTTGGCAACTAATTAAACCCAGCATTAAGCAAACTTAATCTTTAATTAATCCAAAATTTTGAAGATTAATTATGAAGCTTTATTGTGGTAGATTTATACACTAGTAGTGATTAGTTAATTACTTTTTCTTCTTTGTAAAAATAAAATGATATATATACGTGTGGTCTGAGAATTGACAGCCCATGTCCTGGAATATTCAAAAAGCTCCATTGCCTTTAAGGGTGGGGGAGAAGTGAGGTGTTCAATAATTAAGCACATGAGGCAGCCTTTCACCCACTCTTTTCTTTTGGGTCGTTTTTGGGACTTGGCTTTTTGTAAGAGCTAGCTAAAATCTAACAAAGTTGTATTAGTACTACACTTGCACTATTTTATACACTTTTATAAACCTAATTCCTACCACAAATTGTAAAAATATCTGTGAGTGTTGCATCATACATCAATCACATGCACATATATGGATCCATCCACACATTGTCGCTTTTAAATCTTCACTAATTTTGCCAATAATTTTTTCATTAAAATGATGGTTTATGTCTTAATCGCATGTTTCACGTTATGTTTTAAATCATTAATGTTATTAATTTAATCCATGTCGTTATCATATACACTATAAGTTTTCCATTGCCTTCATGAGGGACAAGTAATTAAACAATTATTCGATTGGCTAGATCGATGATGATCATGATTATAGAAATATTAATAGATTTAGGATTACTTATTCCAATGTTAACATGAATTTTCAAGATCAAATTATTGATTTTTTTACTAGAGTAATTGGGATTAATACTTTTTATTAATTTCTACAAATATATATATATATGTGGATATATCTCAATCCTATTAGGATTAGGTCCCTAAAATCACTTGTATGAAATTATATTATGACTAAAATTTTAATCTAAATCATATTAAGAATTAAATAATAGCCATTAACGTTATTGAATTTCACATGTGGCATATATATATATATATATAT